CAAACATACAGGCAGGACACTACTTTAACAAATTAGAAAAACAAATACACTGTTTGCAAAACAACATTAGGACACCCAAGGCAAGAACAGAAACTGCAAAATCTCAGCAGATCTCAGCGGCAGCACTGCTCTGCGGGTGAACTCAGTTCTGAATCTCCAGGGCTGGGTTAAAAGTCAAGCCATAAGAGGGCTGTTTTGGTACTTGAAAAGGCGCAATTTGGAAATGGTGAAATACTCCTCCAAAATGGCATTTGTGGCCACAGGTTGTCTAATGCCTGCCCATACTGTGTAATTTACCTCTGTGTTACACATGTGTTTTTTTAAAAAGGAATTTAGCTGAACAAACAACTGGGAATATTTCTCATACTGGGGAGAGGGCTTGTAGAGAAATCTATAGAACCCTGTACTGGAGTTTCCTGTCATTACGTACAGCAAAATGATAAAGCCATCCTTTAATATGCTGACCAGGGTCTTTAGTGTCACACAGTATAATCAAAGTCATTTCAGGTCAAGATGGGCGGTTCTAAGTTTGGGAATGGGATAAATGCTTTATAAAGAGTAGTTCAGCATGTTTTCAAGGCAGCCAGTAAAGAATATTTCATCTAACGAATTAAACGAAATGAGCTGCCACCTAACTCAGAAGAGCATTTCCCACAGGCAGCAGATCGAATCATTCTGCCCAAACGATGGCCACTGACTGGGGGAAATGAGGCCTTCTCAGCCGTGGCACCTTGACTGGGAAACTCCGTTGAGTGGGTGGGCTGCTTCACTCCACTGTTGCTCGTATTCAGGCCAGAAGGAAACACGTGGCTGCTTCAGAAAGCACTTGGGGCAATACTAAGGAGCACCATTAGCGATTGCATATAATTATGTGTTACACGTTAGGATGAAATTTATCGCGGGGGCAAGAGAGGAAGAGGAGGAGGACACACAACTGGGAAGTTTCTCCCCCTTCTTAGGGCTACAGCAGGCCAACTTCCCTCCTGCAGACGCTCGTGCTCCTTTTCTCTCTTGCCTTTAACAGCACCTTCTTCCCTGGCCTCTTCAGCCTGGAAGGAAGAGAAGTGCTGCCTCCTGCTTGCCGTGCTCTGGCCAGGCTCCGCGCAGTTCCGGGGGTGGCTGCGGGGTCCCTCAGGGCAGTGGCCAGAGCAGCGGGGCCAGCAGAGCAGCAGCAGCACAGGAAGGACTTCTGCACTGACAGCTCAGACGCGCACTTCCCCACTGCAGATGCGCAGGGACACAACATGTCAAAACACGCCAAGCAGCTCGGCAACCGCTTCTATTTATTTAATTTTTTTTTAACAAGGAGCCAAACAGCAAGCGGAGCAGTGAATTCCCCTTGGAAACCAGCTTTTTCGCTGAGCCACAAGGAAGGAGTCAGAGCTACACAACACCCACTTGCAACCACACAGGAACACAGCGCTTCCTGTTCATAGTTACATCACAGGCCGACAGCCACTACAGGAATTGCGCCTATGGAAATGCATCCAAGGTCGTCAGGGGCCTGTTAGCGCAATTGAGCAGACAAAAACGTGGAGGAAACCAGCCCAACATCACCAGTCGAGAGCCAAGCTAGACATCCCCTCACTCCTGGGGCCTTTGCTTGCATGGACTTGCTTGAAGGGATGCCCCTGGAGTGAAGGACCCAGAGTGCTGCAGTGCAGTGCAGTTTAGGAGAAGAAGAAAAGATTGGATTTATACCCCACCCTTCACTCGGAGTCTCAGAGCGGCTTACAAACTCCTTTCCCTTCTCCTCCCCACAGCAGATGGGGCTGAGAGAGCTCTGACAGAAACTGCTCTTTTTCAAGGACAGCTCTGACAGAACTATGGCTTGCCCAAGGTCACCCAGCTACTGCAAGTAGAGGAGTGGGGAATCAAACCCGGTTCTTCCAGATTAGAGTCCGCGCACTTAACCACTACACCAAAGGTCTTTAGAGGGTCTGACCAGGAACTGGGGGCCTCAAGTTCAAATCCCCACTCTTCCACAAAGCTTGCCAGATGACCTTTGGTCAATAATATCCCCTCTCTCCTGCTGTTGAGAGAATAAAATGGGGAAAGGAGAACCGCGTACCTGAGGCCTAGTTCTGAGAAGGAGGGAACCATGAAGGTTTTTTTTACTTCCTCTGGACATAGAGCAGGGGTTACTCGGGGAGTAGAGGGGGGAGGTAGCTGTGAATTTCCTGCACGGTGCAGGGGATTGGTCCCTTCCAGCTCAACGTTTCTATGGCACGCTTGCAGCTAACTTGTCCTGCTCCTCCCCTTCTTAGCTGTTAAGAAACAGTTGCTAGCAAACAGGAACTGCAAAACACCCGGTCAGCTGACACTTCTTCATTCTAAAAAAAAAAAGGCTGTTCAGCAAAGGGAGAGCTTGGTGCCACTGCCCCACCTTCTCAAGAGAGAGGAAGCCACCATCTTTGCTCTAATGAGAAACCTCCCAGCTGAGTCTGTGTAGTGGCTGTAGCGCCAGACTAGGATCGAGAAGACCTGGGCCAAACGTCCATGCTGCCTTGGAGACTCGCAGGGAGGCCTCAGGCCAGTCACACGCTCCCTCCCTCAAGGGGGGGGGGAGAAAGATATTGCCAGCCACTTTGGTCTCCCAAGTTCTTCCTGGGGAGAAAAGCTTCCCTGGAGAATACAGCTACTTAGGAGGGTGGATTCTAGAGCGTGATACCCCCACTGTCCACAAAGCCTCCCCTCCACAGGCTCCCTCCCAGAAATTTCCCCACCTTTCTCTCTCACGTCAAAGTTTGAAACAAGGACTGACTCTTGGACTGCTGGCAGGTGTGTTACCATGCCAAAAACAATACGGAAAGAACCCAGCCTTAAACATATACAACAGAGATCAAAACAGAAAACTGGAAACCTTACGCTAATCATTCTAATATATTAAACAATCATTCAGAACTACAAATCTTCACGGATGTAATCAAAGCAGTTCTTCATAGTCGTTTATGAAACTTTCCAGAATAGCGTTCCGTTTCGTGGAAAACACTTCTTCTGAAAGGTGTATTTTCTTAATGAATCAGTCTCCCCTGTCACTCAGACACTGCATTCTCCATCAAATTTCCGACTACTATAGTCATCATCACTTAATTCATCTTTCCCTGGGCAGACGACCGAAAGCGGTACAGGGTGTGTCACAATGACAGCACCTTATTCCCAGCTCACTGCAGCCATCTATTATTTAAAAGCTTCCATGGAGGTGAAGGATACAAATCTAAGAACAGCCAGACACCTCTGTCTGAATTTTTTTTCTTTGTGAAGGACTAAGATAATTAAAATGCCTTACTTATTAGTGAAGCAGCTTTTCATTATTTGTGCCACTTGGAAAATTGAATGCAACTGAAAGCAGTATTAATATTATTTTTAATTCCACTATTGTTTCAGAACAATGCTCACAATTCCAGTACTTAAATCTTCCCTCAAAAACACAAGAGGCCAGGGGAGAAGGAAAGCAAAGAGCAGATTATGGGTTGAATACGGCAGGAGTGGGGATTGGGGGGGGGGGGATTTGAAATGTATCTGAAAGTCAGCCAGTAGCATTTCTCTATCCATGTTGGACGCCATTGCAGCCGGTAACGCCCCCTCCTCCTGCCTGAACTGTGCACCTGGAGGTTGCTGCTCCTGAGAACTGAGCTCAAGGGAGTCGCGGGGAGGGGGAGGGGGAGACTGGATTTATACCCCATGGCCCTTCACTACCTGAAGGAGTCTCAGAGTGGTTTACAATCCCTTTCCCTTCCCCTCCCCACAACAGACACCCCGTGAGGTAGGCGGGGCTGAGAGAGCTCTCTCAAGAACGGCCCTTGAGAGAACAGCTCTGAGAGAACTTGTGACTGACCCAAGGTCACACCAGCAGCTGCATGTGGAGGAGGAGTGGGGAGTCAAACCCGGTTCACCCAGATTAGAGTCTGCGCTCCTAACCACTACACCAAACTGGCTCTCAAACTGGAAGGAAATACTGGAAAAAGAAAAAGAGGCTAAGATCTCATCTAAAGGCTCAAACTCAGCTGACCAGCCACCTTCAGTGGCCTCTCGAGCCCAGTGGTGGTGTCCCAGTGGGAGCGAGGGGAGCACAGTCCGCCGCTGCTGCCCTGCAGCTCCCAGGAAAAGCAAGGCGAGGTGAGGTGAGCCGCTGGGCATAAAGCCGCGCAGGAGCCTCCCGCCCCACAGACTGGAGCGCTGCCCCAGTCCCGGGAACAACGGAAGACCAGAGTAGTTGGGCTGCCTGCCCAGTTCCTCCGAGATGCTTCCCAGAGACACCCCCTTCTCCCCGAAACTGCTGCCCCTGTGGCTAGGAAAAGGGACCGGGTTCTGAGGGGGACAAGGCAGCAGCTAGTCCTGCCGCCCTTGAGAAGGAAAGGAGGTGGTGGGACTGCCTCCTCTCTGCTTGGCAAGCGGCTGTCGCACCTTTTGCCTGCCATTAAGGCTGCAAAGAGACGCTTTCTGGCCGCCACGTGACTAGCTCTTCTGCCAAGCACATGAGAGGAGGAGGGCGGCAGGGAAGCTACCCCTGGTTGTGCAAGACATAGTCAGTTGTCGGTGGGACTGGAGGCAAAGCAAACTGCTCACTTGGTGCCGAGATATTGGGGGGGGGTTGTTCCTCAGTGCACTAGGGGAGGGTGGGGCGCCCTAAAGGAAGCACCCCTGAGTTTAGGATGAGAAGCCGTGCATGGAGAGGAGGGAACCTATGCGGATTTACACACATACGCATGCCAGGGGGAACTCTGGTTGCCAGACGTCAGGTGAGACCCGACAGCACTTTCCAGCATCATGTTTGTATTCATTCCCACAACTGACACCAGCGGTCACGAGCCCTTCCCCAACGGTCGTGCTGCCCACACTGTGCCCTCCGCCGGTGCAAACACTGAGACCCAGGTTCTCAAGTCATCTCTCGACTTGATACTTCCTTCACCAAAGGGTGACACACTTCCTCTTTATGTGAAAATAGTATCCTTCTGCAACACAAGAGCCACCCACCATTTAGCACTCTTGCTGTGTGCTCACTTCCTTACTCCTGAAATATTAAAATGTGAACTCGAAAACCCGAAGCTGGTGAGTACAGGAGACGTTGCCTTCCAGGTAAGACAGACTTTCTTTTGCTTCTTTTGCTAGAAAAAGGCCAGCGAGTGCGAGGGTTGCAAGACCGGTGTGGAATACTGCCGAGCTTGCTTGCTTGCCGTTCAAAGCTGCATGTTCTGCAACACCAACTATTTAAAGGGGCCAGGTTACTGAAGGGCTGTTTGGGGGTTTTCCCTTCGACCGTGTTCAAAGTTGATGCATTAAAAAGAGTAATTTTTCAAGTCTCTGATTAAAGCCTGATGGAGCACTGGCATCTGTCCTTTCTCTAGTGGACTACCATGAAGCAGGTGTCCCACTGCCACACACACACACACACACAGAAACCCAGTGTGGTACAATGGTTAGAATACCAGACTGTGGCTTGAGTTCAAATCCCCAACTTGCAAAGAAGCTTCCTGGGTGAGTGTGAACAAGGCATCTTTTGCCCTATGAGGGCAAAATGGAGGAGGTGGCCGTCTACTGCTGAGCTTTTTGAAGGGTGGTGGGCTAAAAACGAGGGTGACTAACAGAAGATGCAGAGACCTGAACTGACTCCGAACTCTGTTGGAAATGACATTTCAGTTCAAACAAAAATGAGAGCAAGAGAGATGAGTCAGGAGTATTATACATGACAGAAATAAGCTTTCCCAGACAGCAGTCCAAATTCCAACAGCTTTTAAATTACTACCTCAATGTCGCTACAAATACAGGTATTTACTTCTGTATGCATTTGCAGACTCCACTACCTCACACCCGCTAATAAAATCCTGCATGCTACCAATGAAATGAATTCTGGAAAGTCTTCAATAAACATATTATTTGGAGCAGCTAGTGTATATTTCTATTGTAAAGAATACTGACCAAATCAAAATGCCATGATTTCTGCCCTGCCCTGGATAGCCCAGGCAAGCCTGATCTCGTCAGATCTCGGAAGCTAAGCCGGATCGATTCCGGCAGGTACCTGGGTGGGAGACCTCCTTTGAATACCAGAGGCAGGAGGGCAGGGGCAGGCCTTTTCCAGCCCCCTCTCTGAATATCCTCCAGGCCCCCAGTAGGGGTCCGTCACCTGAGGTCGCCATGACTTCCAGGTGCACACACACTCACACGCACATATTTTAAAAATACAACCCCCCATGCCATTATTTCTCACTAGAAGTGTCCTAGCTCCATCCACATATTTCTAGTGTAGTAAACTTTTTTAAAATGTCAGCGTTGAAAGGTCTTCGAAGTAGTAGGGAGAGGCAGAAGGACCCAGGTTCAGTCTGCAGCATTCCTAATTAAAAAGATTGGGTGACGGGAAAGACACACACCCGAGAGCCCCAGGAAAGCGTCTGGCAGTCTGAGCAGGCGACACTGACCAAGGGTAGATTCAGCAGAAAGCAGCTTCATCTGCGGGTTCATTTGCCTGGGAGAGCTATTATCTGTCCACGTGCTATACTACAGAACAGACCCAGAAAACACAACCTTCCTGGTCTCCTTTCCCCCAACCCGAGCACTACATGTCCTTAGAAACAATGTAATTAAATGCTCCTTATCCATAGAGGCTGCCCGTTGCATCTCTGCATGATCCCCTGCTTTGGCCCCCTTCCAACTAGGCTCTGCTGAGGGTAGGGGGGGATACAGTGCCTCTGCCTCTCCGGATCAGGTGAAATTAGATCATTCGATCACCTCCGATGTGGAGACACGGAAGACATGCTCAGAAGAGGAACAAGTGCATGATTTTCACATTGCTATGCTTTAAAAGAAAACCTTTTCAGGTGTGCCTTCAGGGGGGGGAAGTATGTCCGGCTTTCAGGAGTTTGGTAAATGCTGCTGGGACCCAGCTGCGTAGCCCCATTTCATCTCCCACACCATTCTAGGGCCTGACAACGTCCAAATCAGGCCAACTCCCCCCCCCCAACAATCTTCACAGGGAGGGGCAGGGGGAGGATCTATGCCAAGTTCCTAGAGATGCTTATTAAGTCACACATTTCGGGGTTTTCTGGATAAAGAAATTACATTTTACAATTCAGACTTCCAGTATCCCTCACACTGGAAACAAGTCTGTTGTGAAAAGTGAAATTTGTTTCTTCAGGGAAGGGCTGAATTCCTGTAGGGGAGGGGCTCAGGCTAAGTACTTTGCATATAGAGTGACACAGGCTCGACACCTCTGGCCTCGGCACCTGAAGGAGCGCGTCAGTAAGACCTTTCTCCACCCACGTCCCTGGGAATCCACTGCCAGTCAGGGTAGGCCACTGATCCAAGGTCTATGGTCTTCATACGTTCAATTCTGTGTCCAGTAGCAAGACACTGATGTACACCTGCTGTAACCAAAACCCACACAATGTACATCCCAGTATGTACTTTGAGAGAACATGAATAGTCGTCTGAGAACTAACTGCCTTTTCTATTTTATCAACTACAGAAGAGTTGACAGCAGACGATGAAGATGGGCACCAAAGCCATTGTTCTTATTTTCTTCTATGGACAGCTGTGGGGTAGCCCCCTCTCTGCTGAGATCAAGGGGCCGTCAGATCCTTCAGCCACTTTCCAGACACCCACCACTTTAAGAATTGGCCCCACCACCCAACCCTTCACGCCTTCATCTCCAACGGGCAAACACAGAGGGCTGCCAGTGTCCACTGCTACCACAGCACAAGGAGACAAGCTCCATGATGGGCACTTAATAGGGGCAGTGCTGGTTGGTATCATCTTGGTGACTATGATAGCGGTGATTGTCGGCATCTTCCTGTGGAAGAGGTTGAGGAGGACCGGTTCAGTGGATCCCCACTGGGCTGGCCGTTCCCCATTTGCAGATGGAGACGTGCTAGAAATAACCACAGACAAAGAGCCCGTGCAAAGCTCAAAGCGCGCTTCTGTTCTCTCTCTCTTGCCCTGGAAGTTTAACAAGAACACGCTGCTGTCGGAAAATGCCGAGGGACAACCGTCGGAAACAGGGCAAAGCCCTGATGACCCATCTGCAGAGAGTGCAGATAAAAGGGACAGCCAGTCAAGCCCTACGGCAACAGAGAATTCAGTTTCTTCCTCAACAAGCCTGCAGACTCCAATTTCGGATGGACCGGGCAGCTTGACTGACATTCCACTCCAGTCCGATGATCTCTTGCCAGCACCAGCTGATCTGCCCCCTCCGCCCAGCTGGAACAGTGAAATTAGCAAGGACCTCTGCCCAAATGATACCGGGTCCCTCCCACTTCAGTCACCTGTAGATACTGTCTGTTCAGCACCACCCGATTTCTCTTGTAAAAATCCAGGTGAGGCGTCATTGTTTCCTCCACCACCTGAAGAATTTTTCTAAGCCCAGACTCTATGACAAACGCCACATCCCCCTTTCAGAAACAAAATGAACTAGCAGGAAAGCCAACGTAATCTTGCCTGTCGTTTTTTGCACTGTTGCTTATTTGAGCATAAAAAGCGCCCTGTAGGGTCAGACCGGAAGGTCCTTCTAGTCCCGTATCCAGTTTCCAGCAACCTGCCAGCCAGGTGCTTCCAGAAGGCACACCTGCAACTCCTGCCAACCCTTAGCAATCCATATGAAAAGCCATACGACTTCTGATCATGGAGGTTCTGTTTAACTACCACGGCTCAACAGCAGCTGATATTTGAATCTTCAGCGATCTACGGTTCCATTTTATTCACTTGTTGGCCAAGACACACACACACACACACACACACACACACACATTTTATTTTTATTTTTTTAAAGGAGCCTTTTCGTCTCTGTGAATTATTTCCCCTGGCATCCTCTCAAATCCTTCCTGACCTGCAGCATGCATTTTACCTGCATTTCTACTGTGGTGGCCTTGAGCACACTAAAAGGACTCGACCCTCCTGACTCTCCCTTTCAGCATGTCACTCCTTCCTCTTTTGAAAACTAGGCAGCGCCACATTGGACTTACTGGACAACTTCTCCATTCACATGCAGGACAAGTTTGATTGCACTGTGGTCACTCTCTCCAAATGGTTCAACAGCACTGACATATCACAGTAGATCCTGGAGCACAGGACTAAGTCAAGAATTCTCTTCCCTTCAGTTGCCTGGGGGACTGACTCTTCCGTATCCAGAAATTTGTTTGCTGCAACTTTAACACACATTTGCCCCAGCCAATTTTGGCTGAAAGATCACCATAGTGGCGTTTTTGCCTTTGGTAGGAAATTATTTTTTCATATGTGGATTTCATCTTCAGCAGTTGAGATTTGCCTGCAGTGGCCATTACCTTGCCACCTGCTGCAGTGCCCACGGTTGCAATGCTGAAGTGGGCGAGGAAAGAAGGCCTTCACACTGCAAGGACTGCCAGGGTTTGCACAGTTTGCCACTCCCAGGGCCCTGCTCACTAAGCAACATGGCAACGACTTGCAGGCTCCTGAAATGCCCCCTCTGGGTGCACTCTGGGCAGGGCACTCTTGATGGCAGTGCCCACATTCAGCACTGCCCATCAGACTTCACTTCTTACAGTGTAATGCAAAATGAGAACACTTGTTCATTTTTAAAAGCATTACCAGCTTAGTGTCATTCAGCACTCCAAATGGCTTCTGATACTCATGATTTCTATTGTTCTGATTGATATTTAAATTGAATTTTTTTGGTGCCCAATGTAAGTTTTTCCCCTTTCTTTTTTTTATGTTGCAAGTCGCCCTGAGCTGTTTTTTTTTTTTTAATAAAGAAAGCAAATCATGAAATATTTACACTCTGATGGTGCTGCTCATTCATCCATTTTCAACTATTATATGAAGCACTTGGCCACTTTCGAGAGTGAGAACATCCATGGGACTGCTGTACGATGCACATGAAGGAGGAATGAAAATCCAAGAGCCCTGCTGAGGTATTGCTCTGGTGAGGCTGATACCACATTAGACAGGAAGCGGGTACACTGTGGTTTACTTTATCTCCTCTCCAACTCTGGTGTGTGTGTGTGTGTGTGTGTGTGTGTGTGTGTGTGTGTGAGAGAGGGGATGTGGGTGTGTGTGTGTGAGGTAGAGAGAGAGAGAGAGAGAGAGAGAGAGAGAGAGAACAAGTACACATGCAGGAAAAGTAAGCACAACAGAAAATTACGAATCAGTGATGAAGTTTCTCTGAGTAAAGTCTGAATCTGTTAAAATTTACAGAACCACTGTGGTCTATTAGTTGGTGCGCTGGAGAAGACCCTTCCAGAGTGTCCAAAGCACAATGGGTGGCAATGCAAAGCAGAGCCTGTTCAACAAAGCTGTGGAATGCCCTGCCCAGGGAAGGTGTGCATGGTTCTCTCACTAACCGTGCGCAGGGGCCTTAGTGGGCTCTGGGGAAGATTTTGCTATTAGGTTTTTTGGGCTGTTCTGTTGGTACTTTTGTATTATGATTTTACTATAGCACTTTGATTCATGTAAACCTCCTGGAAGACCTATGGCTCAGCATGGCAGGGTAGAAATATTTTAGGTAAAGGTAGAGATAAAGGTTTCCCTTGCTTGAAAGCCAGTCGAATCCGACTCTAGGGATGTGGTGCTCATCTCCGTTTCCAAGATGAAGAGCCAGCGCTGTCCGAAGACATTACCGTGGTCATGTGGCCGGCATGACTAGACGCCAAGGCACACAGAACACTGTTACCTTCCCACCGAAGTGGTACCTATTTATCTACTTGCAATTTCTTGCTTTCAAACTGCTAGGTTGGCAGGAGCTGGGGCCAGAGACGGGAGGAGCTCACTCCATCTTGCGGAACTCGGGTCTCGAACTGCTGAACTACCGACCTTCCAGCCTGCAGTAAATCATAATAAATAAAACAGATTCAAAATGCCCAACTGATTTCCCTTTTGGACCTGTACTAGCTCCCTTGTAGGTTGGTGTTATGTGCCTGTTTTGGTCAAGGAACACTCCTGCCCTCTTCATCAAACAAACCAAGACTCAGCATAGATCAAACGTCTGCTATTTTATACACAGGAAAAGCTGCAAACTCCAACCAGCACCAGAAGCTAAAGTATCAGCAGGTGGGATCAGCCCCAGGGGACTACAGGGACTACCTTCGAGACCGCCTCTCCCCATAGGAGCCCCGTAGAGCACTGAGGTCCACCCGTCAACATCTTCTGGTGGTCCCCAGCCCCAGGGACCTCCGACTTGCCTCGGCCAGGGGCTCTCTCGGCCCTGGGCTGTATTTATACTGTCAGAACCCGCCCTGAGCCCGTCAAGGGGAGGGTGGGATATAAATCCAACTAAACATAAGTACCTCAACAAACGCTGAGGGAGAACTGAGGCAGTCACAATTTACTGTGCAGTCGGCACAAGGAGCCGACTGACCCCCATGCTGGCGTAACTTGGAGTTATGCTGGTGCAAAGGGCATTCACCCTGGCGCAGGGCACAAAGGGCACCATGCACTTCAACCTATGCAGCTGCACCACAGCGACATGCTGGTGAAGGGATGGCGTGAACCCCTGCACCGGTGTAAATGTGGGCATTCCAGGGGGCATGGTGCCAGTTAGGCTGACTCCCAAAGCGTTTTCAGCCCCCCAGAACAGGTGCTAAATTAGCTGTAATTTTTAATATGATGTTTAGTCTTAATGTTGAATTTTGTATTGGTTTTCTGTTGTGACCCGCCCTGAGCCTGCTCGGGGGGGGGGATAGAAGTCCAAGAAATAAATAAATAAAAATAAATAAAACGGTGTTGGCAAAGATGCCGGTGCAGCCCATTGGCAGCCATGGTAACTCCTCATTCATTCCCTACCACAGCTGCGGCCACGCCCACGGGAACCCAAGCAGCTCAGGACACACACCCTCACGCCGGCCCACCCACTCACGGCCCCCTCGCCCTACAAATGGTTTCAGGAGGACACCCCACAGTGGGGCGGCCCTGCCCTGCCAGGGGAGGGTAGGCGTGGCAGTGCCAAGGGAGTCTGTTGCAGCCCGCTGTGCACACTGTGTGCGGAGCAACACTGTGGTGTCCCCGTGGGGTGGGCGGTTGACGCCCCCACCCACCCACTGACCGGTGGACAGGGCTTCTGACAGCAGCTGGTCTTTCTAGGGGAGGTGTGCTTGCTGCAGGGGAGAAGCGAGCCTCCTGTAGGCCACCCCTCTCCACCGCCTGCCGGTGATGAACACTTGACTCTGCCCCCTCGGCTCACGGTGCCCACCGGTCCTGCCTGCCCTACCTGCCTATCATACCGCCCCTACCTAGCAACAACAGCAGGACGGAACGCTGCAGAAGAAGCGCCACGGATGCCACCACGGCAGTGCCCGCCAACACTGACAGAGCACCTTCCCCCCCCCCCCCCCGGGGTGTTTTTGGCGGCGACAACTGGAAAACTCAGGTTTAGATTTGCATAGCTGCTCCTTGCAGAGGCGATCGCCTAGGTCCCAGTTTGGTGTAGTGGTTAAGTGCGCTGACTCTAATCGCACACCCCCCCCCCCCCCGCGTGTAATTTTACCCTTAGGGAGGTGACTAGCGGCGCCACTGTTGCACCGTGGCTGGCTGCCACAGCACAGGCACAACAGAGGATCGCTCTGCCCGTCTCCTCTGCTATGGAGGAACCTGCTCCAGAAAGGGGAGTAGGGTGAGGAAGCAACTCCTTCTTTCCATGCCCTCCTTTTTCTTCCCTCTCACCTTTGACCTCCCAAATGCTTCAGGAGCCACCATCCTGTGAGGTCCTGCAGCTGTCACCTCCCTTGACAGAGAAAATAACTCCCACAGTTCTGTAGGCAGATGTGCCAGCAGGACAAAAAATCCTCTCTGAGGCGATGAAATAAAATAAAGATCTGCCATCTTCGACCAAGAGGAGCTCATGCATGGCGGGGAAAGATCCCCAAATAAAAGTCCTCCACTCTATACCTCTCTCAAAAAAACTTTCTTACAATTTTCTCATGATCATGAACAATATAATAGAGAAGATGCAAGAAACCCTGTAAGAGGAGATAGAAATGGAAGCGGACTTCAAGGCATTTCCCAAGGAGAACAGGTGATTTAAGACTCTGAGCTGGAGACCAGAAGGTCTGTAGTTTAGCATTTTGAGACCCGAGTGCCACATGACGGAGTGAGCTCCCATTTCTGGCCCCAGCTCCTGCCAGCCTAGCAGCTTGAAAGCAGGAGATTGCAAGTAGATAAACAGGTACCACTTCGGTGGGAAGATAAGAGAAGAAGAAGAGAAGAGATTGGATTTATACCCCGCCCTTCACTACCAGAGCGGCTTACAAACTCCTCAGAGCGGCTTACAAACTCCTTTCCCTTTCCCTCCCCACAACAGACACCCTGTGAGGTGGGTGGGGCTGAGAGAACTCTGACACAAACTGCTCTTTTTCAAGGACAGCTGTTCCAGAGCTTGTGACTGACCCAAGGTCACATCAGCAGGTGCAAGTGGAGGAGTGGGGAATCAAACCCGGTTCTCCCAGATTAGAGTCCGCACACTTAACCACTAACCAGTTTCATAAGTTACAAAGGAACATAAGCATCCCAGGTAAGCATCAAAGGTCAAACTGTTCACTATCTCACCAACCTGAGAAGTAATTTTATCAATACACATCATACCAAAGATCCTAATAAACTAATCTGTAACATGAAAGGGCTTCCTAATTTCTATTGAGTGGCAATTTGATGAGAGTGAGAATACTGCAAGATCTAAATGAGATTTGGAGATAACCAAGTTCTCAAGATGGTTAGGTAGGATCATACATGGGTCAGCCCACCCTATGTCTTTTTTTTTTTAATGGAACAAGGTGTTGTAATGTACCTTAATTTACAAGACTTTAAAAGGGTCTCATTGATTTCCATCAAACACTAAGATGGCAAAACAGTACTTCCCCACCCTTGGAGTCCAGCAAGGGGAACAGCAGTAGGAGGCTTTAGTCTTTGCACCCGCACCTCTCTCACTACTTATGACTGGCGTGGCCGGAAAGAAATCTCTGTGGACTTTGAGAAGCTGTCATACCTCAAACTGCTGGTTATATCTTGCATTTTTAACAGAAGGGTTATGGTATCCTTTTTATGAGCCTCTCAGATCATAACTACTTTAGGTGCATCTTTAGAAAGCCGGGCAGTCAGTCTGCTGCATTTGATTGGATCGTCAAGCCTGTGAGTGCTCAAAGACCTTGAAATTGCAAGACAGTTTTGATGGATGTGTGTGTGTGACAAATAAGCCCCAGATACCAGAGCAAGGAGAGAAGAAGGAATCACACACACACACACACACACGCACACAATTCGAATCAACCATGTACACAAGAACACAGCAGAGTTTTCCAGTTCAGCCATACCTCTTGGGCATTTGGAAGCCTCCTTCTTAAAATAACAGCTGCTCTTCATTTAACAGGTCTACAAAACTGGTGCCTTGGCATGATTCAAATAAGTTTTGTGCCAAAGTTGCATTTTTGAAGGGGGGAAAAAAGTTTCCTTCCTTTTCTGCTGTCTTTTCAGTTTTAACCCTAAAAGCAGAGGTCAGAGCACGCCTGCGTCACCAGCCACCTGAATAACTTACGGAAGGACCCCCTGCCCACAGCCACCCCCGAGGAATGCCCTTCTCCATCAGTCACACTGCTCAGGTGTATCTAAGGACAGAATCTGGGATGGCAAGGGGATGCTAATTAACTATTTTGTCACGCCTCTCTGTGCAAGCATCAGCTGCAGCCGGGTGTCAGCTCTGCAGCGTGAATGGCAGCCAAAAAGAGTAAAACGAGTAGTACCTGCAACACTGCTCCAGTAAAGTGATACACGCCAGAATGCACAATCCACACAACAGGGTCTAGAAGAGGTTTTAAGAGCTCATAATGTGCACACCTATCTACAGTTTTAACAATAAAACAATCTGTTTTAACAAGACAGATAAAAGAAAGCCCTTTTTCAAACAGTGCATAATGGACTAGTAGGAACCACTGCTACACGATGTTATGGCAGACATTTGCTTAGGTGGCTTTTAAGGACCAATTGCACCAATGGCCATGATGGCTGATAAGGAACCTCCACGTTCTACTACTGGGGGGAGGGTTTGGCTTTTGTGCCCCTGCTTGTGGGTCTTTCCTCTAGTTGTCTGCTCTGGGAAATGAGATGCTGAACTAGATGGACCCAGATTCTCATCAGCCATGACAGCAGGGAATAGAGCCTCCTTGTACAGAGGCAGTACCAATGCTGAGTACAAAGTCCTGGAACAAACAACAGAGGAGGGGCACACTGCCATGGCAGAGCCTGCTTGTGGGTCTTCTGGGGGCATTATGGGAAACAGGATGCTGGACTAGATGGACCTCGGGTTTGATCCAGCAGGGCTTTTATGTTTGGGATCACAGGTTTAAATGTGGAAAAAACAGGAAATGTTAGCATCTGTTCCTAAAACGATTCCTTAATGACCAATTGTGCATTAACTGCCTGAGTGTGTAAAGCAATCTGCAGATCTTCAGTGGCCCCAAATGAAACAATATATCCATTTGTAGAACTATTCAACTTTTTGTTTGGGGGCGTATGCCGCTCGGAGGAGGAAGAACAGCTGTCCTGATGACCATTTCCCATTTCTCTCACCCACCCTGACAGTCAGGGAGGCCCAGTGCAACAGGAAAGCCGAGAAAAAGCTGCAGTTGTATAGGACAGCACGGGAAGCCTGCCACGGATCCCAAAGGGGAGGCTGCTGCAGTGCATCCAAGGCGATCTCTTGTGCGTGCCACCACTCTGGGGGCAGGAAGTCCCCAGCCCAAAATACTCCTGCACCAAAAAGTGCTGGAACAACCACGCATGGGAGTTAAGCCCAGGACGCCAACGCCGGCCTGCAGAGCGAGATGCGCACGCCCCACGCCCCATACGTGGGAGGGGTTTAGCCCCCGAGAGCTGGAGCCCCAGGTCATGAACTTGGGTCAGCTCTGTTCCTCTGTTTTCAGGATTTCTACCCGGCTCTCTAAACCCAAGGATACCCCAGGCAACAGTTAAACACACAGATTAGATAAACAGGCAGTCATTGACCCAATCTGAAGTCAAACAAAGACAAACCAGTATAAACACAAAAAGCTGTGGCCACTGGCAGCAGTCAAGATATTTTTTAAAATAACCTAAAATGATCTGGGCAGTTAAAAACCACTTTCCAAAGGCCCACTGGAATAAGCACCAGAATGCCAACAAGGATTAGTGGTGCTAAGAGTGTGCAGCTCTGTCTGTGTGTGTGTGTGTGTGTGTGTCCAGGAAAGGGGATGCTGGAATCAGGGGCTCTTTTTGTAACAGGAACTCCTTTGCATATTAGGCAACACCCCCCTAATGTAGCCAATCCCCCAACATCTTACAGAGCTGTTCTTACAGGGGCTACTGTAAGCTCTTGGAGGATTGACTACATTAGGGGTGTGTCGCCTAATATGCAAAGGAGTTCCTGCTACAAAAAGAGTCCTGATACCTACCAACCGCCCCGCCCTCCACAGTGACGGTCCCCTCTGGCCGATGGCCCTGATCACCTGCCCCCCCAGATCCAAAGCTGGCCCACAGGGATGAATGTCTCCTTCAGACATCTTGGACCCCAGCTGGAGAGAGCTCCACGGAACAGGAGGCACCAGGGCCTGGCTCCAGGGCCTTTGCGGCTCTACAGCTGTGAACGGGGGCTCTGGCAGGCCACCTGGAGGGGGGCAAGAGGCAGTGGCAGGGAAACCCCCCCCCCACCTCCAGGGACCTATAGGATGACACCAAGGCATGGTGTGGGCCTAGGGTTGCCAAACCCCCCCCCCGGTTTGCCAAGGGTCCCCCGTTTTTTGGGGGGGTTCTACCCGCCGCCGGCCAGATGGCCGGCAGGGGAAGCCCCACCCCCAACACCCACAGCCACCCATCTCTCTCCCTTTAAGGGTGTGCAACCCGTGTTTCATCCCAAGCGCGAACTCCGCAAGCTTGCAGGGAAAAGCCAGCTTCGTTCTTAAAAGGGAAACACAGCTTCTCTTAAAGGGGAAACGCCGGCTGCCAGCTACTTTAAGTGCAGGGAACTGCTGTTTTTGGAGATCCAGCGCACGGCTGGGGGGGGGGGCGGCAGACGTCCCCTTCCAGGAACGCCCCCAAAGTCCCCCGCTGGGGGTGGAAGATGGCAACCCTATGTGGGCCAGAAACTGCCTCCAGGCCACCTGGCAGGCTTGGCTGCTCCAGGGAAGGGCAGGAAGCATAATCCAAAGGAGCACCGTTTCCCCCGAGACAACCCATTCATCCTGCAAAGCCCACGCTTGCCTGGCAATCATGCCCATTTCAGCTGAGCCAGCTGGCAGGAGATCCGGGGCAGGCGGCACAGCCCAGGAGTGGTGGGACCCAGCAACCAGGCCCCTGTGCGAGGGCTGCCGTCTCCACTGAAGGCCCACTTGTCCTGCCTCCTTTCTGACTGTCAAATGGCACTTCAAGGCTGCTTGCAGAGGGCAATAAGAAACCAGGTGCATTGCAACAGAAAAGCAATGACGAGCAGTCTACAGTAGCACTGCCAGCACACATGTCGAACCCCTTGTTGCAAAGACACCCTGCAGGCCCCCTTTGGGCAATCAACAGCTGAGAGAGTGCCAGCAATGAGGAAGCCTCACTTCACCCCAGACTGGACTCCTTGGGAAGATGGCAGAGCTCAACCCCATCTCTCCCTCTCCGTAGAAACACAAGAACAGGAAGTATCCCAGGCAGGCGGTCCCAAGTCCGGTCCCTCCCGGTGGACCTTGGGCCCAGAACCAGAAGGGAGGTTGCTACATTCTCTGCAGCCGCCAGAGTCTACCCTGGTTCAGTCCTGATCCAGTGAGATATGTGTTTATTTTTTTACAGTTACACATTTTTATTTTTAATTTACTTACATTAATTACAGATTACCTTTCTCAGAGGGACTCAAGGTGGATTACACGGAGTAAGTCAGGAGAATCAACAAAAGGGGACATTCAGTAAACCATACAGGATTGTAGAAGTCTGGAGCCAACCAGAAAGAGCTGAAGCAGAGCGTAAATATTAACACGGCACATGAAGTGGTGCAAAAGCTACATCATAGGGTTCTACTCACAGTAAGTGACACACAGTACTGTGAAGGCATGAGGGCTTTCAGGGAAAGGAAAGAGGAAATAGAGGGGGAAGGGGGAAGTGAGACGCATCCTGAAAGTCCTTATGGGTCCCCCACTAGTGTACAGAATAATATTCCAAATAATTTAAAATATGTCAGAAATCTTGTGGTGCCCTTCAGTTGGAATCAACGAGTACCAGCTAACACTGAACTGGAGAAGGTGCCGTGGATCGGAAGGGGATGTTCAGTCTCTTACAGAGAGAGGAGGAGGAGAACCGTAAAGGAGAGCCAGTAAGCACACTGGGGCAGAGAGTGTTGCGGGGGGGTGGGGGGACATATGTCACTTCCAAAACACATCCAACATTCTGGTCAAGCAAAGAAACTGTCCTTCCAACCAATGCTCCCCCTAAGCTGTGGAGTCCTGTGAGCAAAAATTCTACTTTGTGAGCTACTGGCATTAATGTTGTGAGCCAGCGATATGCATCAATCAGTTTGCTCTGGAGCCATCCTTCCTGGGCTAAGACAAAAATGTGTGAGCCGGAGGCTAAAAAACTGTGAGCTAGCTCGCACTAACTCGGCTTAGAGGGAACACTGCTCCCAACTTATATACGAGGACATGTACCTGGAGAACAATAACTTTTAGGTATAATGACGTTTGTTATCACCCACGTGCCCCAGCCCTCAATGTGGTGGTGTGATGTTGCAGCTTCTAAGTCATTAAGAACTGACTGCAGCAGCGAGAACAGCCTGTCAGGACAAAAGAGTCCCTTAAATCACGCAGGCCATTCCGGCAAGGGGTCCTCCCCCCTCTGCTCCTCCTGCCCCCTCATAGTACAGCATGGCTGATGTGGCTTTCGACCTGTAGTGAGCCAGAGGCATGGTTGGGATGCACGGTCGTACACGGAACATCTGGCAGACGTCTAAACGAGACAGTCTCTGGGTTTCTTTACAGCACTATATGATTTAGTAAATCAACTCAACCCAGACACACTTTTAAAATCTATCCGTCCTCCAAGGAATGTTAGACAGTGAACACTGATTTTCCTTCCCCTGAAAATCAGAGATGAGCCCCAAATCACCCAGTTAAGCTTTGAGCCTTGAACCTGCGTCTCTCAGGTCCCAGTCTGACACTGTAACCATCACACTCAGTACACTAACTGGCTCCATTGAACAACTCCAACAATGTAAGAGCACGGCTATCATCGAGGAACACCGAAAGAGATGCCCAAATTAACATTTGAGAAAGTCACCGTGGTTATGAAATGAGGGCATAGCAGGCAGAAAATTGTGCAGAGACCAGCAGTAAACGGCCCAGGGGCTGTCTTTTTCTTTTTTACAAACGACACACCAAAATTGAGACTGGATACTATTTGCATAGCTCTGGAACGCACGCTGCATCTTAATGCACCCAGACACGTCCCGGGGGGTGGGGAGTGGGACGGGAGGAGAAAGAGGAGGAACACACTGAGAGAAGTTTGGAAACTCTGCTTTCAAAAACCTGTCCGTTTTGTCGAGTGTGCACCCCTTGCGATAAATTTGAGTCAGCACCAAACGACGACGGGGCTCTGCAGTCCTCCGATGGAGCACACTGATCAGGTGGTTACCGAGCCCCTGGAAACGGCAGTACGATGCAGCTGAGGAGGCGAAGCACAACCCACAGGCAAACTGTGGCTACCCTCGAGAGCGAGCCGACCTCTGCATCTCCATCTTTCAGAGGAAGGATGCACTGAGGCTGCAGCAGGGACCAGGGTAAGTTTGTGGCTTTGCCTTTCTTTCTCCTCCCCCCACCAGCCCCCCCCCCTCATTGCCTGCTTGCTTTTAAGGCCCACACCTGCCACAGTTTTGGATGAGAGAGAGAGAGAGAGGGAGGGAGAGAGAGAGAGAAAGAGGGAGGGAGGGAGAATGAATAAAAATGATATTTTAAAATGGCAGAAATATAATCTTAACTTGCCTGCCCAACAAGCTTGCTGCAGTGACAGCTACAGACTCTCATCTGAACAGTCTGGAAGTCTAATGGACATGCCGCCAGGTTAAGGAGAAACGGTGGGAATAAATATAATGTTGGGAGGGGGGGGGGGAGAGACTGGTCATGGCACATACCTCCAGAAAGGTGGCTTAACGGTGCCTGATTTATATCTGCATTAACAAATTATTTTATAGTTATGTCATTTTACAGCAAAAGACTGTTTACATTGCTGCAAGGATTTTAAGGCATTCAAGGCAAGGAGTTTAGACAGCCATCCCCCCCCCCCAATCCTTTCTAAAACTGAGAGGGAGAGAGAGAGAACCCAAAGATAAGCATGGGATTCAGACCCCTGCAAACAGAAAGCAGGCATTGTATAACGTTTGGAAGAGGCGAGCAGTTTCGGAAGAATGCTGCCATTGGGAGCTGGCAGCAGAGGGGGGAGGTAGGAATGGATGAGCCAGACAGCAAGACAGTAGGATGAAGAGAGCTTTTGTAAATAACTGTCTTCTTGCCCAGGGAGGGCCATGCCACAGCGATGGAGGTATGCGTACTTGCTTCACGTACATGCAACTTCAGCTTCTGAAGGAAAGCAGTGCAGGGAAGAAAAACCTCCCCACACAACCCCTCCAAACTGCATTCCTCAGCTGTGCAATAAATTGGGTGTTTCTGTATATATTTGCTCCCAGGCAACCATGGAGAATCGGGTCTTCAAGGCATCTCCCTGTCTGCTGGCTCTTCTCTTCTTCATGCCAGCTGTTCAGGGTGTCTGTCCTTCTGTGTGTTCATGCTCAGGAAACAACAGAAACGTGGACTGTTCCGGCAGAAACCTGACCACACTGCCACATGGACTTCAGGACAACATTACCTACTTAAACCTGTCTCATAACCACTTGGCAGACCTCAACAGCCAATTGACTCGGTTTGCCAATTTGAGGACCCTGGATATCTCCCATAACCGCCTTTGGAACCTGCCGGCTAATCTGCCCAGGTCCCTCTGGGAAATATACGCCGCACACAACAACATCAAGGTTCTTCAAAAGCTGGACACAGCTTACCAGTGGAACCTTAAGGTACTCGACGTCTCTAAAAACATGGTGGAAAGGGCCGTTCTCATCAACAAGACGCTGAGCAACCTCAAGTTCCTCAATCTCAGCAGCAACAGACTCTGGACCGTCCCCACTAACATTCCTTCCAACACTGAAACGGTGGATCTATCCAACAACTTCTTAACGCAAATCCTACCTGGCACACTGGTGAGGCTCCCACACCTTTCCAAACTTTACTTGCACAACAACAAGTTCACCTACATTCCCGACAAAGCTTTCGACGAGCTCACTCAGCTGCAAGTAATAACGCTTTACGAAAACCCGTGGTCGTGCAGGGATGGCAAACAAGCCCTCTCGTATTTGCAGAAATGGATGGCAGAAACCAGCGCCAAAATCACAGGCCCGCTATGCGCTGATGAAGCCACCACTTCTTGGAAACTTGCCATGCTGTCCTCGGCTGCCCCCGCAGCTGGGGAGAACCACCTCCTCGTTAAGGCTATGAAGGCAGCAGGAACTGCTGGGTCTCCAGTGACAACTGAGCAAGCCCAACTCGGACACCGCCAATTCAGAACAAAGGAGGGTGTGCTCAGCGCTACCCCTGGGCACACCGTCGCATTTAGCAGCTCTGACAGGCCACTGGTCCTCTATCCGGAAGATCTGAGCACAGAGAAGCTCAACGCCTACGAAGCAGCCGCCGCCACGCAGACTATCCACCTTCAAGGTACAAGCTCTGTGAATTCAAGCACAATGGGTCTGGTGGGAACATCCGTGACTCCTATGACCTTGAGCATCACCAGTGGGATGCCTACAAACTATTCAAAAAGGCCTCAAAGCACAACGGTCATGGTAAAGGAAGCAGAATCGACCACAAACGTGAACCCCCATCGCAATTCCAGAGCGAGTCACTGCAAGGGAGTCCCGTTCTTCATCGTCACACTGTCTGCGGTGGCCCTAGCCATCGGCTAAGGGCTTGTGCTGGTGCATATTGGCTTCATTATTCCTCTTCAGTAAGTGACCAGAACAAGAAATGCTTGCGCCCAAAAGGGATTCAAGTGCAAGAAGAAAGCCTGTTTCAGTTCTGGAATGGGTCTTACAGAAAGCAACGTCTCCTAAACGAAAAGACTGCACAAAATTATGTCTTGATAACCAAGCTGCTACTTACCTTAACTATGTCTGAGTTTGAAACACAGTCTAATTCTATCAAATAATATGATTGTTTTTATGAAATGTGCTGATTTTGTATTTACATTTTTAATTTTCTTCAAACACACACACAAAATGAGAACAAAGTCAGTATTTTATGTATCAATTATGTATAGTTTTGTCACTAAACATCTGGAAAAGAAAAATATGAAAGGCCTGTATCATACTGTATTGCCTTGCTAGATATGCTAGTCAGAGAGTCGTGTAATATAAAAGTATTGGTCCTTTATAAAAGATGACGTGCAAAAGGGATTAAGGGGAGGGAAATAAAGTTGTTGAAAATTCAAATGCTTCTTATTTTGAGGCATATAGGTGGCACATTAACTCAAGTTGTGCCCATGCATGCATAGACACGTGTGTGTGTGCAGGTGTGAGTGAGTGAGTGTGTTAAGGTCATCTTTATGAGAAGGAATAGCTTTCAATGTCTACCTTAAGCACGTGTACAGGCAATCTTTCACCAGGGAATAATGCTAACCATGGTTTGTTGCCATAATCCCAATTACAGTCCTAAATTCCAGTTAAACCTGCTGAGACCTGAATGCCATTTTGAAAGCACAGAAGCTGGGAAGCGGTTTTGCTCGGTGAGGATGCCACACCAAACAACCATCTCCTCAAGCTACGTTTAGCAAATTCACTTTAAACCAAAATTTCACATCCTACTTTGCATGTCAATCCTTAACCATTGCTTAGGTATTCTGAAGGCTGGGGGGGGGGGGGGGGGGTTAGACATTAGGTTGGCACAACACCCCAGCAGGACAGGCAGGTGGGCTCACTTCAAGGAGAGCCAACTTCTACAGACTCAAGGGCCTCTCCAGGAAGTCACAGAGGGGACCTAAAAGTTATCACCACAAATACATTACCGGGCACAGCACATGGTCCTGTAGTGCTCATTCAGGCAATTTTCCCACTCCGTAAGCAGAAGTTGCAGACACAGTTACCAGGTCACCGGCAGCAACCACAGCTTTAAAACTGGCAAGCACAAGGGAGAGGCATAGTGGGGGCTGCTCCGACTACATACTGGGTCTCAGGAGGACCAATGAATCACCATCTCCTGCAGAGTTCAGGGAGTTGGACTAGATGACCTGCAAGATCCCTTCCAACTCTAACATTCTATGATTCTATGATCTCAATGCTTCACAGTGCAACCAGAGACAAGGCCCAGTTCTTCCCCCAAGTCAGAGAAGAAATAACTGGAGTGGGGGGGCATCTTCCTACTTGCTGAGGGCCCCGAGGTGAGTGGAGAGGAAGGAGGTCCTGCACCCTTGCTCCTCCTCCTCCTCCGTGTACTGCCTCCTTCACGACCACAGGGACAGCTACTAGGGGACCTCCTCACCCTGTACCTGCTGCACTTGCTCCCCCACCCCTCAAGTTTCTCCATTTGGAGGGGCACACCCTTGTTCCGAAGCAAGTGGTCCTGGCTCCCATCTCTCTGCCCTTCATCCCCACTGGCATATGCAGACACTGCCCCTCTTGCCAGTGCTGCTTCCTCCATCTCCATGACAACACAGGGATACAGCTTTGTCGCCCTGACAACTGCATCCCAACTTGCTCTTCCTTTGCTTTCTCCTGGCAGAGTTCTATACCCAAACCTTTGCCAGGAGTGATCGCCATCCCCACACAGCAGGCTCTCGGTGACCACAGTGTTTGGTTGGCTACCCAGGCCAATCAGAATCTGTGGACCCTTGACGAAGAGAGCCCCACTGCACAAAGATCTCTAGGTGTCTTAACTACGAAGAGAATAAATCCACAGTCACAGCTAAAAGCTCAGGAACCAGACAAGACCTAGATGTTATCCATGGCTTGTCTCCACCTATGGGTAAGGGAGCAAGAACAGCCACTAGCTTGGTTGGCTTTCAAGGGAGATGCGACAAATTCACAGACTGGCCCTGATGGTTAAATGGACCTCCTACATTCAGAGGGTGGGGTGCAAAGGCTGGGGGAGGCTTTGGCCCCCAGTCTCTGCTTAAAGCCTTCCCTAGAGATATTTGGTTGGACAATGTGGGAAACAAGATTCGTTTTTGGTCCAGGCTACCAGGCCTTCTTCTAAGGACTTACTGTGAGTGGAGGGACCTCCTTACTGCGAGTGGAAGTTTTGTCCAAGGGGGGGAATGTTCTTCACAAAGTTGGTGTTTCATGGGCTGAGGTGGGGTACAGTTGGGAGCACGGTTTATAAATTACAAAAAATCTTCCTCACCACAGATGGAATGGAAGGAAAGATTTTTCTTTTGAGAAGGGGAAATTGCACAGCCATCGCTGGGGCAGCATCCTGCTTTGGCTGCTTTTGAAACAGCTGTGCTTCTGGTCCCTCCAAAGTGAACTGTCACCATGCATGTTTCTTCCCTTTGGTGTAGTGGCTAAGTGCGCGGACTCTAATCTGAGACACCTGGGTTTGATTCCCCACTCCTCCACTTGCAGCTGCTGGATGACCTTGGGCAAGCCGTAGTTCTGTCAGAGCTGTTCTCTCAAGGACAGTTCTGGGAAGAGCTCTCTCAGCCCTGCCTACTTCACCGGGTGTCTGTTGTGTGGAGGGGAAGGGAAAGGAGTTTGTAAGCCACTCTGAGACTCCAAGTGAAGGGCGGGGTAGAAACCCAATCTCTTCTTCTTCTCTGCCCCCAGGACACTGACCCCACCTACTAGGGTCCTGTGAAGGCTTGATTTGCTATTGACGTGAAAAAAGGGTTGCACTGGCAATTTTTCTGCACCTACTGAGCATTTCTAATACTTAAGACCCTACGCAGATCTTCATGGCAATGGATTGGATCCAGACAATTTTTTCTGCTGATGGAAAGCATTTCTGTGGGCAGAACAGAACTCTCCGGCCTCCTCCCTCCCACTGTTGGACCACTGATTTCCCCCAAATGCTGCTCCTGGAAGACATGGGACCCTCAAGAACGGCATGAGGGGCAAATCCAGCCTCTGCAGTGGGAAGGAAGAACGGGCAGAAACTAAACCTTCCCTTCTCTTAGCGGAAGACTTAGTCTGGATCCAGCCCTATGCATGGTGAGGGGACTGAGATGAGGCTACTTCCCCGAGCCTCCAGTTGTACACACAGGCCCATGCACCCTGAATTCAATGTCTTAGCTGTGCAATTTGCACACCATAAGATCAGAGTATACAGTTCATACTAGTCAGAGCCTCCCACATATTTGGGTCACAGCCGTAGGAACCCATAATTGCTAGAAGATGGAGCAGTGCAGAACAGGCCCCTGGGAGCCCCTTACCAGACACGCCCCTGAAAAGTGGTGTGGGGCTGAGACCTGTCTGGATAGCTCCGAAATCTGGAAAAGAATTCTGTTCCAGAAAGGAACATCCTCGTGCCCCTGGAGGGAAATCTGATGGAATCGACAAACATGGAACGCAGGCGGCAACATCCCAACCCCCACCCAACATTTATAGTCCTTCTTTCCTCCACCATCAAATAGCAGGACCCCAGGAGGTCTCCTGTCCAGGTGCAGACCTATTTAGCTCCAGCCAGGATGCAGTTTCACAAGCCCTGAAACCACAGCCTGGGTGGGGCCCAATGCATACAGAGGCACACAGCGCTGGGCCCTCTGTCACTGGATGCTGCCTTCACCTTAAGCACAAGTCTACCATCAGGGCAGTTCTTCAAGCATAATTAGTTGGACATACGCCACACCACACTCCTCCTTGGACAGGAGGGCTATGAGCAGAAAACGATGGGCAGGGTAAGAATCAGCAGTGGCTGAACGATTAAAGCTGTCGCTAAATAGGCAGGAGGGGCAGATTCCAGTTCATTACCTTGGAAAAGGCAGCAGAGCGTTCTAAGCCCTTCCCTTCCCCCACTTTGGACTCTCCAGGCCTGCAGAAGCGAACTCGGGAAAAGTAGACCCCGGGCTGCAGAAGCCACATCCCTGTCTGGAATGCAAATGTTTGGAGCTCGATGGCAAAGGTGGAGGGAAGTGCTGGCAGCACACCCTTGACACGTGCCGGATCCCTCCTTTGCAGCTCCCACAACAGGTTACATATTGCAGCAGCGATTTCCATGGTAACCAGAAGCAGAGGACTCTAAAAGGGAGGTTACCCCTACATGTTAAAAAAGAAAACAGCATTTCTCTCTGGTTCAAAGGACCAGAATGGCACGCAACAAGCTGGCTGGGGTAGTACTTTCACTTACCAGGGAAACTAAGCTAGCAAGTCCAGCTATTATACCAGCCGCAAAATATCAGAAAAGCCACGGCCCAAACAGGTCCTTCCACTTATGCTCTTGGGGGCAGGGTGCTAGCAAGAGCCTTCTAATTCAGCCTGTTTCCCTATGACTGTTTTCTAAAGGAAGGGGAAATTGCCAGACACATCAAAGATGCACCACCCACAATATTTCCTGCTGTCTCCCATCCAAGAAATCAGCACAGCCATCTGGGGCCTCCCATTTGTTTTTTCCTCTTACATTTCTGCCCTGTCTTCTGAACCCAAAAGTGGCTTATGGTTGTAACTGGCAGCTGCAAATGATGTGTTTGTGTGTGGGGGGGGGTAGTTTGGCCCTTCAGTCCCACACCATTGCCACAGAATGGCTCACCAGCCAACCCCTGTGTTAGATCCTTCAACTCTGCCTCCTAAAATCTGCTGAACTGTGTCCTCCATCTTCCTACCAGTGCAATTAACCTGCCACACTCCTTGCAACAATAGCACGCAAGGAAGCTCTCTCAGCAGCTGCCTATGTGGCGCTGGAATGACAATTTTCAGAGTCTCTTTCAAAAGCACAACGTCATGAGTCAGCCAGGGCTCAGTAATGGCAAGGACTCCACAGGAGACGAGGAGCCCTGTGCAGCTACCCTGAGTTAACAAAAGCTGACCAGCAGGAAAATGAGCTACAGCAGGCTTGTCAGGATTCACAGCCAACAGCTGGTGCAGAGCCACTGACACCCTCCAGCCCTGATTCAGCAGGTGAACCTCAGCTGGCCGTTCCCAGCCCACCAGTATCACCTACACCCTTAGACCACCACAGGCTGAGAACAG